CCTGAAGGCGGGCTGGGGGGGGGCTCTGCAACTTACCTGGCTGCTTCTTGATCCTCATGGCCCAACTGAGGGCTCATGTGCCCGCCCCCTGGGCTCCTTACTGCCAGAGCTCCGCTCCCTTGCGCTCCCGTAGGAAATGACCCCTGCACAAGTGACTCACAAAAGCTCATAACCTACTACAGATTTTGTTAGTCTTTAAGGTGCTACTGGACTCTTGCTCTTTCCTACTGATGAAAAAAAGGACTCCTTAAAGTTGAAACTGATGATGGAGGTGACTAGCAATGTTAGAGAAACAGTACTGTAATTTTATTACAAGTATTAAGGTTAAATATCTGATGACCCACTTGCCAATATGTATGAACCCATGAAGAATGCAGATTGCAAATTGTGAAATGACGGGGGGAAGGCATGACAGAAACTGGAGAGATATTGAGCCCCTGGTGAGATACACTCTGTACTTGTCTGACGTCAATCTATAGTATAGAATTTGGGGGGTGAAATTCCTCACAACGCAGCAGTTGAAGCTATTCAAGGGCAATTATACATAATTAAAATCAGGGCTATTTTTGGGCAGGAACGCACAGGAATGGAGGTCCGGCTGGCTCCTGAGTTGGCCACACCCAGCAGGAACTCATTAGCATAATAGGCCACACCCAACAGCAGAAACTCATTAGGATTGGCTATAGTAGGTGTGTGTGGCCTAATATGCAAAGGAGTCCCTGCTACAAAAAAAGGCCCTGGGTGTTGACAACAAACAAGGTAAACAGAATAAGAAGCAAAAGGTGGGTGTGGCAACATGGGGCTGTGGCCTAATATGCACGTGAGCTGTGCTGTCAGGGGTGTGGCCTAATATGCTAATGAGTTTCAGCTGTTGGGTGTGGCCTGTTATGCTAATGAGTTCCTGCTGGGCTTTTTCTACTAAAAAAACCCCTGATTAAAATGTATGTGGTGCTTTGTTTACTCCATGTGAAATACAGATATTCTAATTGATTTTCTTTCTTTTTTCCTCCCAAGGGGATATTAGGCAAGGAGGAAAGGATGAGCTGGAGATAGTTCAGTGGGGTGAACCCGAGCAAAGTGATCTCACTGGATCAAGTATAGGTAGAAAATGGACGAC